CATAACTGTTTCTTTTTTTCTCTCTTTTTTTTATCGCACCCGATTTCTTACATACTTTCCAGCTAGCTTACAATACGGGGCTTTTGTCCATTCATAAACGGAATAGTTCATTTATTAAAGATCTAGAAGTTGAATTCGGGGAAATTCCGATCGGACCGATCGTCAACCGTCTATGATTTATTTACCGACCGATTTATCCAACGAAATCGAAACGAACGACCGTCCCGTACAATAAAGAAAGGGGAACTACGAACGCGTAGGTGCAAACGGATGAGATTCGTTTGCGAGATCTTTCTCCGTCTAACCGATGGAGGACGTTTCGTTTGGAAGAAAGGGCGGGACGCGTCGAACGAGATTTCGCGAATCGAACACGATGATTTCGTCAAATTGGTCAAATTACGCGTTGGCTTGGTATAACGGTGTCACCAGAAGCGTTACCAGAACATCGTTTAATCTATGTGGGACGTTTAAGGGTGGACGCAATCTCGTCTCTTACGAAACTAAGTGCTAACCTCGATACACGTTATCTGAAGAAACTTCGGAGTTCAAGGGGTCTCTCGAATACTTCTCTCTCTCTCTCTCTCGCTCTTTCATAGAGAATCGTGCGTGGAACGTACTACGACTCTTTTTCCATCTCGCGTTCGATTCGACTCGATTCGGAAAATTCGAAGGCGATCGATCGACCGAGAACGTTTTCGAGAGTTTAAATTTATTAGTATTAGTATTTCGAAAGGGGAAATTATGGTATTATGCATCGGGCTGAGAAAATTTCCCCTACTCTCTCCAAGCTAAACGCAAAAAGCTTCCTCCTTCTTTTTCTTATCGTCGTATATATTTGTTTACTTTAAACGTTGGACGGAGAGAAAGTGTGGATTACAGGGCTCGTCGATTCGTCGTTAAAAAAAAAAGGAGACGAGAGAGACGAGAGGCGAATGCATGGACGAACGGATAGAGGAGGTTGGCGACAAACGCGGTTGGTGTAGGAAGCGATTAGGCACGCGACAAAAGGGATTGGACGATCGACGACTCTCCACCATCGTTCGGAGGGGGAGGGGGATCGATTTCCAAAAATAGGGCGCGTACCAACCGTATATCCGTTTCTATTTCCGCGCCCCTATCCGTCCGAGATGCGCTCGGATATTTTTTCCCCGTTCACGCGTCGTCGATAAATTAAAACGATCTCTCTCGTTTCCTTCTCGTTTCACCCTGCGTCCAATTATTATTACAGGGTTAAGACAAAAATCCCCCGCCATCCCCTTTCCTTCGTTAACGTGCTTTCACCCTTCGATGCAATTTCGAGAGAGAAACAGAGAGAGAGAGAGAGAGAGAGGCTATGAATGCCAGGCTATTTATGCAATATTCGAATTAGAATATTAGGTAACGGATATTAGGTGTTTGGGTGGCGTTTGAATCGTGGATCGAATTAAAATTATCTATCTGGTATTTCAAATTGGTATTTCTTTCTAACGTAACGAATTTCGCGAAATTTTTCTCGTGAAAAATCGATGGAAGAATAAAGTTTGCAAAATTTTCAGCGCGAGGCTAGTCTATCTCTCGCATCGAATCATTGACCTTAATCACTTGGCAAAGCGTCAAGTAACGCGTTATCGCGCGAAACTTTCATTTTCATCTAGACACGCTCCATCTTTCCGCTTTACTCTTGCTCTTAGCCGAAACATTTATTACAACATTTCTATTCCCACTATTAAGAATTTCTCAAGATGTCTCTCGTGAGAATTTCGACGAATATTTAAATCGACGTGTAAGACGAGGAAGGCGATCGTTTTGAAACGCGAGGTAACGATAAACAAAGATCAATTTCCTCGTTTGATCGAGTAATTTTTAAATATCTGGAATGAATTAATTGAATTATCGAAGATCGTTGGAAATCGACGATCGAAGACGAACGATCGTCGAGAAAGCGATTGGGAAACAGGACGTTGAGCGATTGACGAGAATTTTTGATGCAGCGATTGACGAAATGCAGGAAATCGAGTAACGGCGACTCTCGTTGTGCGAATCGAACGATAGAAAGAGACGAGCGACTACGACGGAGACTAACGTTACAATTGGCGCCGATGCGCGCTTACATGGTCAGAGTCAGTACAGCTAAACTTGACACTTGACTCTTGCGCTAGAAACGTACCACGACCGATTAGAATTGCATCGAAACGTTTAGGGTTACGCAGTTCAATGCTAAATGTCGCGATGAGCAAGGGATGTTGCACGACGCGCATTCCGCCGTTTAATCGTACAAATTATATCTAAAATTTATTTTACGATTATACCAGTAGGACATTGTTAAGAAATATGATATCGTTCATTAGTGAAATTACGTCGCTTGTTACGAGATACAACAAGCGAGAGAGAAACGGCAAGGGATTAAATTTAGAAAAATTGATGCGCGAACGTGGTGCCCACGGTTTATTTTTAAAACAAATTTCTTTCGTAATAATTCGTTCGTTTAACTTGTAAGAATCGTGTTCCATTTACGACGAATAAAAAGTAATACACAAATTTTTAATTTAATTTCCAAATTTATATCGAATATACATTTATCAAAATTTATCTTAAATTAATTATTAAATAATAACGTATTTTCCTATATTAATTACTCTCGGGTAAATCAATTTTTCAGCCTATCTATACTTCCATATATTAGTTTCGTCGCGACGAAATTTCGATTTCTTCTTCGATATTTTTTTAACAGAGAGCAAGAGTTTTAACAAATCGAACGGTGAGAGGAAAATCCAAAAAAAAAAAAAAAGAAAAAAGTTGGATATCTTGTTCGTTCATAGTTGAGATCCTTGATCGCGTATCGATATCGATTATCGGTCGATCATTTTCCTTGGTTCTCGCGATAAAAGGTGAAAGAAAGAGACGAGAAAGAAAATAATAAGGGTAATAATGGATAGCGCGATCACCGATCGATCGATTCGATGTGCTTTGCCGACGATACTCGCTTCGTACGCACGCGTGGAGGATTCTTTTATGGGGGTCAGCGTTTCTGCCGCTTTCTGGACGCTCGATTATACGCGATACACGGAGCAGCTCCGAGTGTTGATTTCACCCGACCTTCCCAACCTGTTCCCAACCTCGAATAAAGCCATTTATGGCCCTTTAACTCTTTCTCACTTCGCTTTCCAATTCCACACCGCGTTCGACTCGACGAACGATCGCAGGAAATCGCCAACTATTCCTTCCTAATGCCAAAATACGAGATCACGAGATATCGAATTAAGCGAAAAGCGTTCGCTCGCGCGATTATTAACATCGCGGCTGCACCTTCGAACTCGAGGCTATCGTCTATCGACGATGCCGCTCTCGACGAAACGCGGTTTTAAACACGGAGAATTAATATGGTGGTAGATGGGTGGAGATTATTTCATCGCCGCGATTCGTGTACGAAACTCGTGGAAAGTTTTCGAAGGAGAATCGGTTTGAAATTTTTCGCGAGCATCGATAGCGATGGATGGAAAGGAGGGAGGGAACGTCGAAGGGGAATCGAGGGAAGAAGGAAGGGTGATGGAATTTTTTACACGGTTGTTTCGAGGCGAGCGGAACTGGCCACGAAAAAAGAGAAAACGTGGTAAAAGGAGGAGAAGAAAAAGGAAAGAGGGACGAGAGAGGAGGAGGAGAGAAGCGTAATCCGCGTTGGCCTGGATGCGCGGTGAGTTTGCATAACGACGACACGCCGTCTTCTCTCCACTGCTTATCCACTTAACCGACCTCTCTCCTCGCATCGTACGCACTTTTTTGCCCACGGATTTTTACTCGTTCCTTTTTCGGCAAAAGAAGCAAAGAGGCGAAAACGTTTTCAAGAAAGCGCGCGCGAATTACTCGCCGCGAATCATGCCGCCCGTGCTAATATTTTTTTTCGTAATTTCATCCCACTCTCCTTTTTCTAATCGACGATCCGTGGATGTCGATCCGTTTTTTGGACCAGAAATTTTCTATTTTCCTCGTTCGCGTGAAAAAAAATGGATCGCCCGTACAAATTTTTTCAGCGACTTAACTTAGCTGGATAACCGAAATTCGAGGATACTCGGTTTTCAAGGATATGCGAGCGTAGCAATTATTATATAACTCGAATTGGTCGTTCCTAGTATTTTTTTACGACATACACACTGTTCGAACGACTGTTAGAAGATGTCCATTAAACTTTTCTATAAATAACGAACGAAGAATCGTTCGAAGGAAGAACGATTCTCTTATCCGTTTTCGATCGAGGGAAATCCGCGATGAGTCGAACGCAAAAAGGGAAGGAAGCGAGAGACGAAATTCACGTAGCAGAAGAGGCGAGAAAAAAATGAAACGAAAAGAAGGGGAGAGGATACCGGTGTTGCTCGTCGTCGATTGGATATAAAAGATAGAGAAAGATAGACGGCGAAAACCGAGGAGGAAACGCGAAAGGAGAGAGAGAGAGAGAAGAGTTAGCACGCGCGTAACGAGGATGATCGAGGCACGAGCAAAAGGAGCAAAAGTGGCGGGAACGAAAGAAGTACGGGACGAAAGAGGAAAAGAGTAAATTGGCGGTGTTCCTTACGCGATCGAAGGGAAGATGGCGCGTCCGCGAAAAATTCGATACATCCGACGATAATCCGGTAATGGATCGATTCTTGCCGCGTTATTTCGTTATTTCGCTCGAGTTAATCGTTGGACGCTTTTTACTTTCGAACGATCGCTCTCTCGAGGAATGAAACGATAAAAGGAGGAGGAAGAAGAAGAAGAAGGAGACGTTGCGGAAGATGCCGGTCGAAGATGGACGCGTAACGGGAATAAAAAAGAAGAAGGGATGGAAGGGAATTCGAACCGAGAGACGCTGCTCTTTAACGTAACTTTTATTCGATTAAACCTTCGATTCTTCTCTTCTCTCTCTCGTTTTAATCCTTGCAACGCCGAACGATTGTTAAAACGGCCGTGGAAAAGGTGCCAATTTGACGCTTGATTTTTATAATCGCAACGTTTTCGTCCCTCTCTCTCTCTCTAGCCTAAACACAGCGAGTATATCCGGTGACTTCTAAACGATAGTGTGCATATACGTACGTACGTACATACGCGTACACGTAGATAGCGACATTGTCTGGCCACGATTTCGCTCGGCCAGCGTCATCCGGTCAGAGCTGAGGACGACGCTTAATATTACCGCGCATTATGCAGATTCCGAACCGCACCGTTCCTCCTCTTCCCCCTCTCCTCTTCCACCGCTCCAGCTCGTTTCACCCCCTACCTGCTCCCCTCTCCCCTGCTCCTCCTATCTCGCTCCCTACAACCGATCGTGGACCGCTTCGCACGCTGAATCATCATCGTCATCACCGTCGTCGTCGTCGTCGTCGTCGTCAATTCTTTTTTTTTTTTATTTGAACGCGATATTTCGCGAAACGAGTATCGGCAGATTTCTCCATTCTCCTGCAAATCTTCCCCTCCCCCCCTCCTCCCTTTCGTTTATCTCTTCGTTCGCGGAAAAAACTAGAGAGAAGCAAGAGAAGAGAGAGAGAGAGAGAGAGAGAGAAGCAAGAATTTCTCTAGAATTTTCGAGTCATCATCATCATTTTCACGAAGGAAAATTTTGCTTTTGCACGTGTTCAGATCGAGAGAAACTCAGATCGATTTCAATAATTTTAATCCTACTTTTTTTTTTTCCGTAAGCTTTATTTCCGTCGTAATTTACGTAATTTAAATTTATACAAAATTTCAAATTTTGCGTTGTATAAATGGTTAAATGGATTAAAAAAAAAAAAAAAAAAGAATGTGTTTTTTACATCATTAATCTGGAAAAATAATCGATCAAACGTATTTTAATCGGCGATTAAAATTTGGCTGAGGGCATAAATAAATAGGTTAACATTGATGAACAGATGTTGAGAAAGTTGGACGCGTTTGATACCGGTCTGGGACCGAATTGGACCGGTTCCGGCCAATCTGGACCGAAAATCGGATTGCATAAAGCGACACGGGACGACGCCTGGCTCCGTTGGTATCGTGCGATTAATCGTGCATATGAAAGTTCCCGCTATCCTTTTTCGATTGAACCACTCCTTAAAAGAGAGCTCGTGCAGGTTTAATGCCACGAGTATTTCGCAATATACGGCTCGTCCCGTCCCGTACGGCTTTTCGAATAATTCTTTTCCCAAGATATCGACTCGCCGATCCATCATGATTCCATGTCCTCTTAAACGCGGAGAGATTGCGGTTTTAAAATAAAGATGAGTGAAAAAATTTTTTCCTCGAAACGCGTTTCATTGAAACCCGTCCCAACTCGTGCATCGCTTATCGTTGCGATAAATAATGATTAACGACTTTGAAAGTTATTCTCCGCCACGTTATTTCGACGCGGATGAAAATGAAGGATCTCGATCCCTTTCGAATTCGATCCGATAATCGGAGAAAAAAGAAAATGTTCTCTCTCGGGCGAAGCAAATACTCGCTAAATATCGCAGCATTTCCAATTAAAGAATGAGCCTATTTTACGGCGCTTATCGATCGAACAGCGTTGGTATAGAACGCTATATATATCTGTATGTAGCGTACGTAGACGCACGCTACATCCGTGTTGAGAACGCACAGGCAAGTTGAATTATCGTCGATAAGAAGCAAAGTTAATCCACAGACGAGACGTAACCGTTGTTAGCCTTCGTTATCGCGGCAAAATGGCAAAGAAAGTGTCACGTTTCTTTTCACCGCGAAGGCAACGCACCGCGAATCAAACCCCCTCCGGCAAAGAACAATCGGCCTTTGCCAATGCCTTTATCGTCTCTCGAATTTCCTGTTTACGCGCCACGAACGAGGCTGATCCCCCGATCGGTTCGTAAATTCCTTTCGTAAATTCTTCGCTCCCCGCGAAAAAATAAACGCATAAAGTGTCTCGCCTAATCGGGACTCGTTCGACGTATCGCAACGATGATTCTGCCGAATTTTTTTCACGCGCAAAAGCAAAAAACGTTTCTCTCGCTCTCGATTTCCAGCCGCCAATTATCGATCGAAATACGTACGAAATACCGTTCCAATCGTAGGTTGGAGATTATGGAATTACTACGATATCCAATTTACAATAACCACGTTTACCGACCCCGCGATTGTCCCCGTTGTCCGGATAAAAAAAAAGACAAGAAAAGAATCGCAACGATCCCGTGAAACGCATACGGAAACGAGCGATTAGAAAATGACACGACAGCGATTTAAAAATACACGGGCAGGTTTGATCGAACCGTGGGTCGGGGGAGGAGAAATTGCTGGAAGCGTTGAACAGAATAGAAGTGGGAAATTATTATCGAATTATTCGTTGGATCGTCGACTACGAGATGGTGCGCGGCCGCCGTGAAACGAGAATTCCCCATAACGCGGTGTGCACGATAAGAGGTGTTGTAACGCGGTCCCGCCGTGAACAACCGTGTCTGTGTGGTTACTTGTTTAACGATACTTCCATTCCACGTCTATTGTTGGCTCGCATTTATCGGTCGAACGTCCAGCGGATCGGAATCGGCGGGAAAGAGAGGAAGGTTGCGTTCGTCGAACGACGAAGAGGGGGGGGGGGAGAGAGAGAGAAGGGGGGCAAAAATTAAAGTGGCGCGTTAAACTCGATCGTATAATTTTCTCTCCGGAATGACGGAAGGGAGAGAGGAGGAGGACGACGACAACAACCTTTGCTTCCTATATATATATATATATATATATGTATAAAATCGAGATAATCCTCTCGATTGGTTCGGAGTAAAAGTAGTAAAAGCGGGGAAAAGATAATTGAAAAATTTATTCCCAGATAAGGAAATCGAGTTTATCTCTCGATTTCTTTTTTTTTTTCTTTTTTTTTGTTTTTTTGTCACAGAGATATCTGTATCTAACTACTCTGTATCTATCTCTCTATTCGAAATGCCTCTATTCGATACGTCCTTTATCGAACGATACGATTTTGGTTAGGATTATGGATAGAGAAACTCGAAGCGATTCAGAATCCTAACTCTCTCTCCATCGACCATAAGATGTAAGATCTAAGAAAAAAATGAAACTGTTTGGAAGATTTTATTCGGTAAATGTGACATCATAGATCCAAGAACGGCAACGTATAAATATTTGGAGCACCGGGTCTCGTAAACGTCCGCTATTCGATGGAAACTGGTGGTGGCATGTGCTGGAACTTACTCCTCGCGATTACATTTACGTTGTCGCTTCAAAAGGAGCGGAAGAAATATCTTTAAAGGCACTTTGTGTATTATTTATTCTGTACTTAAGCGTTAATTTAAAAAAAAAAAAAAGAAAAGAAAGAAAGAAGGAAAGAAGAAAAAAAATCGTCTGATTTCGATTACAAAAAATTTAATCAACGATATATTATTTAACGAAGAAAATTTAGCGAAGTAAAGAATTCTAGCTAAGTAAAAAGCTACAGGTGGTGATACCATATTAAAATTGTCGCGTAAGATGATGCCGAAAACGAGATGGACGATTTAACAAGTCCTTAGTTCACACACGCTCGATGTTTAAACAGCGATTCCATTCACGTGGATACATATTCGTAATATTCGTATAAACTTGTCGACAAGGACAGCCTTCTTAGCTTAAGTGGTGCACTTCGTTCACGATGTAGATTGCCGGTTACGTGCAACACAGTATACGCCTTGTCGTCTCGCCTTTCTTCCCTATTGATCGAAAATATTAGAGCAACTTATCCTTGTATAACGAGCTATTGAACGAGCGATATACCCGCGATGACGATTCAATTAAAATTCCCTTATAATTTAATAATTTTCATCGTTTCAATTATCGAAACCTAATGTAAAAACGTAGTTTCGTCCCTTCCTTCCTTCCTTCCTTCCTTCCACATTTTCTCGTTATTCATTCTCGCGACAAAGATACTCGCCGACACTTTTTCTTTCCAATCACGCAATTGTAGCGAATCGTAGGCGAACGAAAGCAAAATAGGAAAACGATACTACTTTGGAAAATGATCGCTCGATCGCTCGTCGATTTGAGATCTCAATCGTTACACGTTTTGATATTTTATTTGTAACGTTTCATTCGCAAATTTACAAATTTTTCTTCTCTCTCGATTATTTTTAATCGAATATAATTCGGCTCGACTCGAACGAAATTTTCCAGCGTCGAATTCCGCGAGGGGGAGGAGGAGGGGGGAGAAGGAGGAGGAGGAGGAGGAGGACGCGCGATAGATCGTCCTCACGCGTAATCGCGAAATTATGTCACATACGAACGCGATTCTCGTCCAAGCTTGGACATTACGTCATTGCAGCTGAAAGCAAGCAGACACGCCGCGAGCATTACATATTTGGAAGATCGTAGCGCGGCGAGGTCGTGCAAAAATGAGCATCGCGCGACGGCAGATAAGACGGCAAGGGGGATCGAAATCCGCGATGAATTACGCGCTCGGCTTAAGTGGAACCCCCTGCGTCGTCGAGTCGTTTCGTACAAGCTCACCTACTTTCTCAAATATCATGCTTCTTATTTTTTTTTTCCTTTCCCCCCTCCCCTCTCCTCCTCCTCCTCTCTCTCTCTCTCTCTCTCTCTTCCTTTTCTCTCTCGTCGAGTATGACGTGGCCCGATGCGACCAAATTTCTTTCGAGACGATCTGTGCGCGAAAAGGAAAGGAAAAAAAAAAAAAAAAAGAAAACGAGAACTCTGTTCTGATATTTCTTTTTTCTTTCTTTCTTTCTTTCTTTCTTTTCTTTTTTTTCTACGAGTTACAAAAGACGAGAGAATTATTACTCGTAGCGAAATGGCGAAGCAACGAGGATACCTTGATGCGTGATTGAAAACAAGGACTTGTCACAACCAATCACGTAGGTGGGATTAAACTGATGCATTAATGCAACAGTGACCTTGATTCTATGCAGTCTTCGCGATCGTGGGTGGAAGCTGAAGTGCAAATTCGCTTTTTCTTCTGTTACATAAATCCTTGCTATTGTAAAGCGTAACGGCGATCTGGCTCGAATTACCTCGAATTCTATTTCTAAAAAAAAAAGAAAGAAAGAAAGAAAGAAGAAAAATCGTTCGGTTTCGTAGACCGAATCTCTCGAATATTTTTGCAAATTGTTGGAACTTCGAATCGTTTTAAACTCGAAACATCGAAGCTGTATCGGAGAGAAAGCTTTGAAAATTTACGATTCGTTTTCTTTTCTCTTTTCTCGTTATATTATTTCTCGTTTCATTTATTTACGCTCGCATACGGATTTTTTTGCATATCGATCGAGAAAATCTTACTTATTCTTAAAATATATATCGTAAACGGGATGTCAACAACGAAAAGGGAATTTTACGCTCGATCGTGTTTAAATTTAATAAGAAACGGGTTCAAAAAACGCGTTGAGTACGCGAGTTCTTAAAATAAAATTTTCAGAAGTTAACTCTCAAGCTCGTTTATCACGCTTAAAACACAGCGTGTAGTTTCTTCTAACCGCGAACTAGGATATTCCAACAGGCCGCTAAGGTTAACGCTCCAAATTTCTAAATTCGACCGTTCCAACAAACATCGAAGCACCTGAATAACCAACGGCCAGGCGAATAACCGAGGAGAAACACAAACGCGTCTACATTCCGCGTCTTTTTTCTTTTCTTTTCTTTTCTTTTCTTTTCGTTTTTTTTTTTTTCCCCTCCAAAAAAGATGGTTCGTAACGCGCGTGCATCACAAAAATTAGATTCGCGAGATAATAAAAGGCACAGTGTGAAACGAGCGAAAGAACGAGAGAGGGAATACGCGCGTACTTAATACTGCTCATCGTAGCGTAGAGATTTCCTCGAAACCTGGACCGATCCTCCTTCCTTAAAGTCTTTCTCGTTGAGGGGAGGACAACTTTTATCCTTTCCGAGGCTAAAAAGAAGAACGCGCGCAAATTCCATTTTCTCGTCTCTTTCGCGTTATTCAAACAGAGAACGTCCTTGGAGACGCAATGGCGTAGTTACAAACTGGCCGTTGTCGTTCAAATTTATCCGAGATGGAGATTTTCTTTTAACTTAACTTTTGGAAATAAAGAAAGAAAGTTTCATTTTTATCCAATCTTTATCTTCGTTCTCTTTGCTTACAGATCTGCAGAGACTCGTACAAATGCAATTGCACGGGGATAAAAGGTGGCGCGGGATATCCTGGGATCCCCGGGCTTCAGGGGCCGGAAGGGCCACCGGGTGATATCGGCCCAGACGGTCCACCCGGGCCGAAAGGCGAGAAGGGCGCCGGTGGAGAATACGGCGGCATGGGAGAGAAGGGTTACAGGGTAAGCGTGTATTTTATACAAATTTCGATCGAATAGTTATTAGCGAATATTTATGTATAAGAGTCACGGCTCGATCGCGTCGAAACGATCGGCGCAGAGGCGAAACTTTTTCCCCCTAACTGATTACGCGATTTAACGTCGTAAAACTCTTAACGAGACCTACAGATGTTTCGTTTCTTTATATCTTCTTCTTCTTTTTTTCTTTTTTTTTTTTTCTCTTTGTAACTACCACGAAGTCAAATTCAACATCGCATCGATGAAAAATAAAACGTGGCAAAGTTACGTGGGAATCGCAGTCGCCCGTTAATTGCTTCCGCAGTCCACGATCGTTTCGATGACAAGTGGCCGAAATTGGATGAAATCGCGTGAGACAAGATGCTCGTATTCGGTTTAACGAGAATACCAGAGAGTATACCTCGTTTTTCCGTTCGATTTTCGATGAAATTGTTGCGCGTGCACGCACGATTCGAGAGAAAGAGATTAAAAAATGAGAATGGCGTCAGCGGTTAGAAATGGAACGTCTCGAAATACGGAGAACGAGAGGGATATTACGAAGAAACTCCCACGAAATCCGCCCGCCCTCGATCTTCTCCGTATATATACAAGTACCGCGATTTCCTTGTTTCGTAATTCGTTCATGCGTTCGTCTTTGTATCGATACGATTTGGAGGAAATCGGTATCCAATCTCTTCGATGACGCCTACGTTGCGACGATCGAAGAGATTGATTGAACAGAGTTTCGTATCGTTTCGTACCGGTCGATGAAATCGTTCGTTTTCGCCGTTACGAGATTCTCGGCATCGATTTTCCTTAAATCGATATAAAAATCGAAATGACAAAAGAAATAACGAATGACTCGATTATTTATACATATATATATAAAATAAGAGATCGAGAAAAATAGTTTCTCAAAGGTATATAAAGATATAAAAATCAAAATTATATATATAAAAAAAAAAAAATGAGGTACGGAAGAACAGAAATGCCGTGCAATTGTGACGGGGTGATAAAAAAACTTTGTCAAAATAACGCGATGTTAAGAGTTGGCGTGGCATCACATTTGCACGATCGATCTCTTAACGAACATCTATCAATTCGCGGCAAGATAACACGATTTTACGAGCGTATTTTTCTTCTCTTTTTCTTTTTTTTTTTTTTACGTACACGTACGGATCGCATCTTTACATTAGCCAGACTCCAGGCTCCAAACGAGTCGTCCGAATGACGTCATGGCCCTTTCTGGTACCGCTGCATCGACCAACCTTTTCGACCATTGCAACGTTGCCAGTATCCCCCCGATTTCCTCCATCGTTTCTCACCTTTCTTTCTTTCGCGAATTAAAAAGCTCGTCCGTAACCGAGACGAAAACACGATTTCCCTCCTACAGACAAATCCTAAATCTGTACATCTGGATCGTGATAAAACGACGCTCAAAGTCCTCAAAGTAGGAAAAAAAATATGCGTGCGTATAAAATAAATCACAATCTTTCTATAACTTCGCAACCAAGATCCAATTTTCTTTCAATTTCAAAAAAATCATAAAAGGATACAACTATCAAATGATAATTTTCGACTTTGCAACTCGATGAAGATAGAAAGGATGGCCGAGTATATTATAAAGCTATCTACAGAAGCTTTCATAAACGTGGATTGGGCGGACGACAATAAAGCGACAATAAATACGTATAATTTTTTCATTTATTCCAAGATATTGGAATAAACGAAATAAAAATCTCGAGCAGTGTTATGTAAATTTGATCGAGGCGAACGAGGTTGTAAATCTTGGGGTTCCGAGCATTCCGACCGTGCGTGCCGACCCCAACTATAAAGACGTTCGAGCAGCTCGATTCGACCCGATCTTTGTCTCCTCCCGGTTAATCTTTTCTAACCATTTTTATCATTTTCCTTCTTCGTAACGAAGAAAACTATTTTTAAAAGTATTTCTTCCCGCCGATATACCCGGTCCTCGCGATCGCGAGGTAAGAACACGCTGACGTCATGGTTCTTTCTGGTACCCAGCAACAAGTGAAAAAAATGGACACTCCTCCTCTTCACGGTTATTCGTTCCATCGACCACGCGAGCATCCTCCAGTTATAAAAGGAATCCTGTTGTACGCCCGATGTACAGGGTGGCCAATTTTATATCCGCAGAAAGCGGACGATATAATTCGATCGAAAGGGAAGATAAACTAAATTGCAGACAAAGGCGTTTTTTCTTTCTCTCTCTCTCTCTCTCTCTCTCTCGATCGAATTCGATCGAACTCGTGGAGATCGATTGATTAAAAATCAAGATTGGCGCGGCGAACTGTAAAAGCTGTAGACCTCGCTTCGAAATTGGCGTCAATGCGGTGGGAATGGCACAATTGCGCGCGCTTTGGGTTAACGATTCGGCCCGCCGCGGCACGTAGGCGTTAATAATAAATTACGGCATCTCGCGTTCCTCGCGTTTGGCATTGATCCCTATCTACGTAACGATTACCCACATATATCGCATATTACACGCATACCCACGTGCCACTCGCACTCCGTCCGTCCTCCGTTATCGCCATTCCCGCCTTCCGATTTTCCCTCCTTCCGACTTGGGAAAACTTGAAAAATAAAAAGGGAAGAAGAAACGAAGTTGTTGTTAACGATCGAAGGGGCGGGGGGGGGGAGGAGAGAGAGAAAAGAGACGAGATGACGAGGAGGATGACACGAGGTTGACGTTGTCTCGAGGCTAGGACGAGCACGTGTAACCCCTGTTTTGTTTCGCTCGAACGAAGTAGGGTATCTAAGCGCCGATAAAGAATCTCCGTTTCACCGACGATACGCCTCCCTCTCTCTCTCTCTCTCTCTCTCTCTC